AGGCTCTAAATTGGATATCCAATAAACACTTTATGTAATTCTTTCTCCAAAGGCAATGTAGGAGTGAAGGACTTTTATAAGACTTCTTCTAAGAGCCAGTCTTTCTTGTGCACTTTTATCATCTTAACAAGTTTGCTACTTGAATCCTAGAACTGGATTTACATTTTAAGAAGTAAGGAAGATTATCTGTTAGCACCGATTTTGCTTCCTTATATTTACATAAAGTTGGATTTTAATGTTATATATGTCTTTTCTAATTAATATTTGGATTTTAAATTTATCTCAGAATAGGTATACCACATCATTTTTTATACACCATTCCTTATTTTTTTTTGCAAGTACAGCTGGCCCTAGATAATCCGACAGGTATGGGACCAAAGGGGTGTCGGATTACCGAAAGTGATTATATATTTGGCATTGTTTTGCTAGCAATAGCCTACAATATTCCCTACTCCAACTGTTCAAACAGAACTGCTCATTGAAAACACATGAAACATGTGTCATCGTGTAAGAATTGGGTGGGGAGATTCACATCGCGACATACTTCTGTGCAAGCAGACACGTAACGGGGACAGGTACCTTGATGGGAGATGTCAGATTACAAAACGTCGGACTGTCAAAAGACAGCTGTATTTGTAATATTGCTGCTGTTTTTTTATTTGGTTAAAGTGCAACATTTTAGATGATGGAGTAAGTCTTGTTGCATTAGCTTATGGAAAAGAAAGAGATGTTTTCTAATTGTGCAATTGTATCTGGAATGTTTCTTTTGCCTTTAGGTTTAAACTTGTGTCCATATGATAATATAATCCTGATGTTGTCATTCATTTGTAATCCTTCTTCCAGGAAAAGCTTTATATTCAAAGGATTATTTTTGTAAATTATCCCATGTGTTTGTTTTTAAGGATTCATTTTACTTTCAGAAACTAAAATTTTTCTTCATAAATAAACATTTTCATAAATTTTGGTCCCTGAAGTGAGGGGTTTTATATTTTAAGTTAAAATGTAATTTTCATGAAGGAAATTTAGCATTTTTTAAATTTATAAGTATATTCTAATATAATAAATATATATATATATATATTTGGCAATATAAAGGAAGGCAGCAGGCGCGCAAATTACCCACTCCCGGCACGGGGAGGTAGTGACGAAAAATAACAATACGGGACTCTATTGAGGCCCCGTAATTGGAATGGGTACAATCTAAACCCTTTAACGAGTATCCATTGGAGGGCAAGTCTGGTGCCAGCAGCCGCGGTAATTCCAGCTCCAATAGCGTATATTAAAGTTGTTGTGGTTAAAAAGCTCGTAGTTGGATCTCAGATTCAGACCTGCGGTCCACCGCCCGGTGGTTACTGTAGGGACTGGACGTTTGGCCGGATTCCTTTGATGCTCTTTGCCGAGTGTCTTGGGTGTCCGGCACGTTTACTTTGAAAAAANACTATTTAAATTTCAAACTTCCACAACATAATACCAATACAAAGAAGATCGCTTTTACTTTAATAAAAAGTCTTACTTTGTCTCTTCTCCTATAATCCACATTTACGACGATTCTAGCGGCTCGTGCACACAAAGAAGAATAATCTGCAAATAAGCATCTCGTAGGAAACCAAGCAACGGTTACAATTAAGTATAAAAGAAAGTAAAAAATAATAATAATAATAATAATAATAATAGCAGATTTATATTTAAATGAAGTACATAGCATAAGTTCTTATGAATGAGAACATTGAACAGTTTTCAATTCTTGCATTCATATTCTCTTGTCTTTAGTTGGAATCACATTGAATTAATTTGGCTTAAACCTAGTAATAAAATGTTAACTTATGTATGTAATAAAAATGAACCTAATTATGTGACATTTATCTGGTATAAGCTTAGTTTAAAGGAAAAAATACTGAAACCTGTCTAAATGGAAAAAAATTCAATACCATGTGATTGCAGTTTACATAGGTTTCACTGTATTAGTTTGCATTTATGATAGTTCAATTAGTTTCTTTGCAAGAACATCATATTAGCAATATCAATTGAACATTTTGAAATGCCATCATATTTAACTTATAGAACTCATATAGCCATCATATTTAACTTATAGAAAAATTAGAAAAATACATTCTGATATCTGTAAATTCTCAAAGAATGCTTATTCAGTTGTAATTTTGATATGTAATATTATTAATTGGTACAGTATTGAGCAACATTACACAATGATGTTATTTAAGTTATATTTTATATGTAAATGGGCTAATTGATGTCAAAGGTTCAGATACCTACTACTATAACTTTTAAAATAGCATTGTAAACTTATACCTTTATAAATTATGCTATAAAAAATAATAAAAACAATTAAAATAATAACAACAACAATATAACATAATTAAGGCTGTAATAAAATTAAAATATTACACTTACTTTTGGCAGCATTTTGTAAAACTTCTTAACTTGACAACATTGCATGCAAGCCCACAGTCCCAATTGCATTTGTTTTACTGGTTGCATATGCAGTTGTATAAGCAAATGTTATCTAAGTTAATATCTTATGTAGAAATAATAATACACAAAACTGGCATAACAAATGTCTGTCTACATTGAGAGAACATTAAGCATTTTGTATCTCAAAAATTAATAATAAATATTCTGTGAATTTTCGTTTCAATTATTTGTGGATTGTGTATTTGTAAAAACACATGAAATAGAATTATTATTTTCTTCAAATGAGTTGATAAATTATTATTTAATAGAAAAAATATATATAACCAAGGATAATTTGATTGTGATTAAGCAAATTATATTTTATGAATTTTGTAATTATTTTATTTATCCTAACATATTTTTCTAATTTTAAATTAGAATTCTCTTTGGGCTTCAATTTGAAAAAATTGTAGACCTATAAATTCTTACTGTTATCTGTCTGTCCTTAATCTCAGGAATGGAGTTAGATGAAAGACGAAACCAGATACGAAAACCTTTATACTGTGTTTGCACACAATCTACGACTCACTTCGATCTTGATTTACCTACAATCTGGATTGTGACTGTCGCCAGTCGAACGTTGTGCTGTTCGCACGGGCAGTCCGCTTGAGAAAAACTCAGCCATTACATGCGATGATAAAACTGACATAACTACATGGTAAGTCACGAACACCAACAAACAAAATGGAAGTTTTGGTTAGAAATAAATACTTTTTCTTACCATACATTTAGATGTCATCGTCTCTCCAGATATCTTTTTTATTTCTCTGTTGATAGCTCGACATGTGTTCTGCATCCATCTTGTATTTCTTGCCATATATTTAATAATAGACAGATGTCATCGTCTCTCCAGATGTCTTTTTTATTTCTCTGTTGATAGCTCGACGTGTGTTCTGCATCCATCTTGTATATTTTAGCACGTGTTGGATTGTGGGATCTCTCTTATGACTGGATCTAGTTTCAAGAACTCTCTTGGGTCAATTGGGATTGAGCCTCGTTTCAGTCAAGATTAAAACGGTCGAGAGAGATTGCACCAAAGCATTGTCGCCGACCTTGGTCACAATCTAGATTGAAATGCTCGATGAAAATGGGGTATTAGGTACAGGAGGTCCTGATTAATTATATAAGAACTTCTGATACAAATCATTATTTTAATTCAAAAATTCCCCCCTGAAAGGTGTTGTTAATAGATAGATGATTGGCATGACTTTATTGTTAAAGAAAAAGTGTGATGTACAGGGCCAAGCCACTACTAATTTGAAGTGGAGAGCATATATTTTAAATTAAATAAATTAAAAATATGATTAAAAATTGCAGCCCGGAATTGTGACAATGTCACAATAAATAATTGCTCATTTACTCTTAATTATTATTTAATGAAAAATTTTTGTGTGCTAATTAGTGTCATATTTATTTGATTAATTTAAGTATGTTGTTCAGTTGTTAAATTTTTTCTATTGAAATATCTCAAAATATTTCATAAATTGAATAGATTATCACAATTCATTTATTTTTTTTTAAGTATGTATATATATTAGGTTGGTTTTTGTGCTCTAAATGAAAGATTTTTTTAAATTAACAGCTAAGAATAAAAACTTTTTAATACCAGATTCATGTTTTATACATTGCCATTTACTTCATTTTATAAGTTTATATCATTTATTGTAGAATTTATTACAACTGAAATATAGTTGTTTTTTAATTTTTCAGAATTACAGGAATTATTAAAAGCATAGGAATGCAATCAAGAAATTGGGATGTGAGTGTGCTGCATTAAGAATATTATTTTTGTTTCAGGTGTGAACAGGTTCTGATGACTAATTTATTTCAGTTTTTAATTTTAATTTTGTGTTTTTCAAGGTAACCAGCAATCTGAAAGTAAACTTACAAAATAGTTATAGAATAAAAACTTAGTAATTCAGCACTGACAACAAAGCACTGCCAATAATCTGATTTAAAAGTTGATAGATAGTAAAAAATTTGGCAAAATAATGAGTTACAACAGTATCAGCTAAATTGAACTACAACGAGTAGAATAAAATTGGCTCATTACTACCAAACCCAATAGGAGTTTATTTTTTATTTCTAATAATTGGAAGTGCTTATATTCTTTGAATTACTTCTAACTAATATTTTAATCCTCCCAAGCTTAGTAGCAAATAGGGAAAAGGTTGATTTTTATATATAATTATTTGGTAGTCTGGCATATTTAGCAGTCCTATGGATGCCAAACTATCAAAAATTTTATAAATGTTTAATTTTCTTTTTATATGAAAATAGGAGCATGAGTTATTTATATAAAAATTAAAATTTCAAAAGATTGCTAGTTTCATTGAATACTAAATTACTTTTAATTATTTTCAGAACAACTGCTCGTAGGAATTGGCTGTAGCAATCAAATTTCGTACATCTGGAATAGATTATATATATAAATATATGTTTTCAGTAATTATTTTAATTAAAAATAATTTTTTATCAAACAGAAATATGCTAATCTATTTATTTTTTCTTTTTTCCCCTCACTGCTTTAGCACTTGGAAGAGTACCAACAGGTGTGACCAGCTTCTTGTCTCCTCCATTTACATGTAGGCACTCTTCATGACGTTCAACCTTTCATTTAAATTTAGTTGTTACAGTTATACAACAAAATCTGTCTAAGTATTAACAGTTTTGAAATCATGTATGTTAGTTTTATAGTGATGTAATGCTTACAAAGTATTGTTTTTATCAAATTCTATAAATTTGACAGATCTTGTTGTTATAAATATGGAATTAATTATTATTCAATGAAATTATTAGGGAAGAACAATGCTGCAGAGATGAAGGGAAAGCTGTTTCTCACTAATATTGTTTATACTTTACAGAGGTGTAATTAATTTGTATCATGGATGGATATATCTCGACAAGAAAACAACTAATTCATCACTTTTCTTTTCTTAATTCTTATTCTATCCAAGGAACACACAACTAAGAAGATTATGACTGTGTTTTGTTTTACCATCTAGATTGATTTTATGTTAGTAATTTTGCAGAAGCAAAGAATGCTTACCAGTGCTAATCAGTTAGATGGTGAAAGCATGGCAGATGCTTTAAAATTGATTTTCTTTCAGAATAGTTAGGAAAAATATGTAAAAGCTGTCTGGTAATCAAACAAATTTTAATGTTTGATTAAATAATCAAATTAATTTTCCCTCAGAATTTGGATTACCAAATTGCTTATTTTTCCTATTCATGTGCTATGCATTTCCTAACAAAAAACTTCTTAGCAGGATGTGTGATGTGCAATATTTTATACTTCATATGCCATTATTATATTTTCTGCAGCAATTTAATATTTCTTACTTAATTTCTTGTATATGTTTATAGCAGTAATTAAACTTCATAATCAATTAGTTCTTTTTTCCTTGAATTGAAAATTTTAGGGTTCTCAAAAGGTTATAAGGAAGCATTCATGAGTGGAGAGCAAGAACCATGGCTCTTTAGAGGTGGTCTGACTGCTGAATTGCAAGTATGTATTTGGTTGATAATCTATGCGCTGCGTTTACATTAACAGTCCTTTTTTTCTGTAGGATTCTTTTTTTTAAGTTAAGATTTCATAGTAAGATAAGAAATACCCGTAATGTGCCAAGTTTCAATGCATAAAAATATTTCTAATAATGATTAATTCATTATTTGGAAATATTTTGAAAATGGTATTGAATTTCAAGATATATATCATTATTTATTATTGTTATTATTTTGTTAAATTAGAAATTTATGTACATATAAAGGTAGATTAATTGTATTTATTATTTTAAGATTAAATAATATAATTTTTTATTTCAACATTAATTAATTAATGAATTTATTGTGAAAGTTAACTAATTATTATTAGCAAAAAAATTTTAATAAGTTTAATTTTAATCTTAAATTGTTAGATATAATGAAAACAAGAATGGATAAAATAGTAATTCAGTTTTTGAAATTATAGAAGTAATTATTTTTTAATATTTTTTGATATTTAGAGATTATTACCACTTGAAAGTGTAAGTGATCTCTTCTTATATAAACCTCCAGAACTGCCTACAAGTAAAATTTATACAATACGTCCTTATTTGGCAAGTGATGAGGTAATTTATTATTTTTTTCCTAACTTGTTTGTTTTATTATTATTATTAAATTAATATGAAGGGTGTCCAGGAAATAAAGAATGTTTGGCTATAAAAAAAAGGAAAAAACAGTAATGATAGGAAAAAAGTTTCATTAAGTAATTAGTACAAGACCAGTTATTTTTCTGCATAGTCACCATTATGATTTAAATACTTGTCATAGCCTGATACTAGATTTGGATTCCTTCATCATAGATTTCCACCACCAGTTTCTTTTCAGCCATTTAGTAATAGCTTCTTTTACCTCATTATCATTTCTAAAATGTTCCAAATCTACCCAAAAATGTGTGGTCATGTGTTATTTTCATTGATTAAACATTAAATAACATTTTCTCACTCTTGCTTTATTCATATGATCACCATCCACTTTTGTGATTTGTTTATGAATTTCTGTAAGATAAACTTTCTTTGTTTAGACTTGCCTTCATACTTCACATTTGGCAAGATTTTTGATTTTTGTACACATTTTAACCCTTGACAAAACATAAACAATAAGCCTGCCGTTATCAAAACTTTACATGTGATAAGCTAACAGGTCAGAGAACAAATTGACCTTGAATCAATGGTGGTCATTTACCTGTGCAGGGTGCTATATGCATCTGTTAAATTTGAATTATTGGAATAAAATTATTTAAATTTTTTTTCCTTTTGAGAGTGGCTGTTTGTTAATTTACTAAATAAAAGTTTTGATATAAGAAAGTCATCGAATATTGAATATTTTTTCACATATGTACACACCCATTGTAAAATTTAGGAGGCTTCCTATAAATACCATTGTTCCATAAACAAAACCTCTTTCAAAATTAAAAATTCCATAAACTAAACAATGTGTGATTTTTGTGCATTTGAACATGCAGACAAGATAAACCACAGGATTTTTCAGAATCATCAAATTCAAGAAATGGCAATTAATTACAGTAGACCCCCCCTATAACGCTTAGATACGTTCCACGCTAACTGAAAATTACGTTGTAGGAACGATTAAATACATGAGCCAATCGCAGCCCGATAGGTGGGAACTTTACGGACTAAGGCTGTTTGAAAGGTTTTCTTCTATAAAATTAATCGATTCTAGACTAATTCCACTCAACATTTCCAAAATACGTATAATTTTTTGGGAATAATCTGTATAAACTATGCTATAAACAAAAAATTATAGGATTACTTACCGAGTGTGTACCGTTCGACTACGCCCGTTGTTCAAAGCTTGTCTTCGTCGCGGAACAGCACACGAAACGGCGGCCGCGATATCTGATAAATAATTTATCGCAGAAAGATAACTTGACCTTTGGAGACATCATTAATATAAATAATTTTTATGGCCGTTGAATAAGAAGTGTTTCTTTCACAAGAAATGTATAAAATTAGTGCTGTATTAGACTTACGGTACCTAATTTACATACTGTACAGACGATAATAAACTCAACTTACTAGCCTAAAATCTCCGTAGCGTGTTGCCAGGCGGCAGAAAGCATATATATAATTATAATAAAGTTACAATAAATTAAGTTAATATATAATTATATATACAGTACCTAATTTGTATATAATTAATATATAATTATATGTACAGTACCTAATTTATATATAATACTAAACAGACGATAGCAAACTCAATTTAGCCGCTCCGTAGCGTGGCGCAGGGTCGGTCGGAGGAAAGTAGTTCGGCTGCTCATCCACTATTGGTCCAGACTTTATCAATCTTCTCGCGAAACGACGTTATAGGAGGTACGTTATACGAAAGTTTCTACAATTTTTTCGCTATGTTATAGGAATTGTCGTTGTAGGAACGTACGTTATAGGGGGGTCGACTGTAAAGCATAATTATGTGCAGAAAGTCAACAGAAAATCTCTACCTTATGCTTACAGCCATGCTAAAAAAACTTCATGTGAGATTACAGGTTAATTGTATGGTATTAATGATAAAAATTTTTAAATGTTAGATTATTAAGAGTTCTCTTGAATTTATAATTTTGCCAGACTAACATATCATCATTAAAATCATAAAATAAATTTAAATTTAAATATTCCAATTTGATATTATAATATACTAGTGGTCAGCATGATCCTTTCTTGGAAGCCTATCCCCAATGTTTTTTAATTCTCTCCCTTTGCATTGCATTTTGTAATTATTGCTTTTAAAATTTTTATTTAGAATATTTTCTAAAATAAAAATGTAAAACTAATTTTAAGTATCAGTTAGCCATGAAATTTTAAGTTTTAAAATTTATTTGCAACTGTCAGTAAAAGAAGCAAGTGTTTGCACTACTGCCAGAACATCAAAAAGAAACTTAGCGTGATCACAATTTATCCTGTCTGGTTTTGAAGATTTTAAAATAATATGATCTTCTAACATAGAACAATAAATAAATTTTGTTATTTTATGTGTAAAAATTAACTTTTTACATAAGTTTGTGCTAGGTTTAAAAAAACTGCATATGAAATTTGTCTTTAACTATAGCAGTAAAATCAATAAACAGCACTTGTAAATTATTTGCATTTCTACTATATAAGTAATGTTTAGTCAATTTTTTAAAAAGTGTTTCATACTGTACACATAAGTTTCTGTTTAAAATTTTTTATTTAGGTCAATAAGTTAAAAAAAAAAACCCAAAATACTTACAAGGGGAATCTGTGAAGTTGTCATCCACAAAATTTTGTCAAAATTGGTGATGTGTAATATTTACTTGTTCTTAAACTTTGCCAAAGCTGCAGGACCAGACATTCTCAAAAAAATTGTGATTAAAGTTTTTCTAGAACTATTAATGCCTATACAGAAGTGTCATTCATATGTTCATGGCATGGTGTGATTAGTTAAGGTGTTGTGTGAAGAGTGTTAATATGCAGGTTTGAATTCAGCATGAGTTATTAATTAAATTGCAAATCTAAGCAATGAAGCTGAAATAGTTAGAAAGTTTTTTTATAAATTAATATTTTTTCATTTTATTTTACTTTTGAATATATTCTATATATATTTGAAAATTCAGATTGATTACTTTTTTCAAATGTGCTTTATCTGACCTTAAATAGGTTGAAAACATTTATTATTAAATAAATAATTTTCTGGAATTAAGATTGTTTTTGTTTTATTTGGCTCTGCTGCTGTTCAAAGCTTTTGATATTTTGTAATAATAATTACATTGATCTAATAATCTACTTGATGCATATCTACTGTAGAATCATACAATAGTAGCATTTCTGAATATGGCCCCGTGAGAAGAGAATTAAGTACTATATAACATGTTATTGCTTTGTTGATAAATGGATGATGCATGCTTGTGTTTATAATGCACAAATAAAACAACATAACTTCTATAATGGCTATCAATTCTCGGGATTTCTGATCCTGAAAGCTTAACTGACTTCTACTCAACCCCTTAGATTTTATCAATCCTCCTGCATTGTCTTATTGATTATTTTAGAGACTTTAAAAAAGTACTACTATGATCAAAAAGTACTGGGAATGGTTCATTTAAACTGCACATGTGCAAGAGGGCACTGTCATCATTTGGTATGACTTTCATTGGCATCTAGCAGTAATCCATGTGTCATTATCTGTTTTCATCTGCAAATAAATGCTTGTTTCGTGTATAAAGAATATTTGTACTTGTGATTTTTTTCAAAATGTTGCGTGTTATTGAGCAAAGAACATGCATTAAATTTCGTTTTTGCAATGGAGATACTGCTATAAAAATGTTGGAAATGTTGCAAAAAGCCTTGGATGACAATAGTCTATATAAAAAAAAAGTTTTTTCAAGTGATACAAGATGTTCAAGGAATGTGTCAAAAATGAACCACACACTGATAGATCATCCACTTCAACTGATGAACAACACATCTTTCAAGTCAGAGATTTCATGCTCAATTACCGTTATTTTAATAATTAGGGACATTATTGAACATGTTCCAATATCATTTGGACCTTGTCAAGCAATTTTAAAATATCATTTGCGCTTGCAATGTGTGTCACTTCTTGAATCGTACTAATATTATTGAATTTTTTTCAAAAACAATAATATGTTCAAGTGGCTAAGGATATGCTTCTTCAAGGTGAATCATTCTTAAAATGATTTGACTGTTTTCTTTGATTGTCATGGTGCTGTGCATCACAAATTCCTTCTGACTGACTAAATTGTCAACAATGAATATTATTTGAGTGTTATGTCATTTGTGTGAAGCAATTTGAAGAAAATGACCTGATTTGTAGCAAGAAAATTTATGGATTTTGCACCACCATAATGCACCTGCTCACAATGCTCTTGTTATGAATTTTTGGTCAAAAATTCAAAAAAATACAGTTTCACAAGTTCCATATTCATCTGATATGGCTGTAGGACTCTTTCCTGTTTTCTCCACTAAAATTTCTGCTTCATTGTTACCAATTTGAGTTAATTGATGCATAAAACAAAATTTACTGAGAGTCCTGAAGAGGTTTCATGAAAATCACTTTAAAACATGTTTTAATGATTGGAAAAAACATTTGCATACTGTAAGTGCATTGCAGTGGGAGAGGAATACTCTGAAGGGGATGAAGTAAATTCAAATCTTGTGTGTTATTGAAGCATTTTCAATACTTTTCTATCACAGACATATGATTCATTTTGTGCGATTTGTTATATTACAAAGTTAAAATACTTGGATATACATATTTTGAAAAGTTAGTTTGCACTGGTATTTTTAACAATGAAACTATCTATATTTGATTATATTTAGGCTGCTGTATATGAAGTATGTCGTAAGACTTGTGATGATGGAGGAGATGGCAGTGAAGTATTTCCCGATTATCCAAATCTTATTGGAGATAAGTAAGTAATATTTTGATAATGCATATATATTATAATTTAAAAAATTTTTAAACTTATTTTTATATTTCTTAGATTGGTTGGTGGCTTTTTATGTTTGAGCCCAGAATATTGTTTTGTTGTGGAAGATGAATCTGGTGTTTGTGGTTATGCTCTTGCTGCCCTTGATGCTCAACAGTTTCAAAAGAAGTTAGAAATGGCTTGGATAACAGAACTTTGTTCAAAATATCCTGCTCCTAAAAAAGATAATGGAGAAATGATGACACCATCAGAGGTAATTATTTTTTAAAATTCTTGATAAATTAGTTTTTTCTGCTCTATCATAGTGAAAAAGCTCAAAAATATTTTTACTTTTTAAAATTGATACTTCAATTATGTCAGTTCATATTGATTGAATAATTCCAAATAACACATTTGATCACAATGCTTAACCTATCCCATGTTGAAATTTTTCTCTGTTGCATGTGGCTGCCATATTGAATTTTTGTCGGTGTTAAACTTAACAAAAATTTTGTTAGGTTTAACACCGACAAACAATTTTTCTGTTTTTTAAAAAAATAATTGTGGCTATTGTATCATCCGAAATTATTTTTTTTTTTTATTTTTCACAAACAAAATAGATATAATTTTTTTGTTTTTTTATTTTTGTTTTATTAATATATTTTGGAATTTAGTTTTAATATAAAAATTATACTGACTAGCAACATCTAGTTCCAAAAACTATTCGATGCTGTAACGAGATATCTCAGGTCTAATGCTTTGGGTCAGAGGTCACAACCCTGAGATATATTGGGAATAACACAGGACAGGTTAAGCAGTATTTCACAGGTTATGTCATGTCAAAATTTTTATGCTTTACAATTCTATGTGCAGTAAGCTAGAAATTCTATATATTATTGCAAAACACCTTTCTTCCTCTGGACGTTCCAAATTATGCCTAAACTGAAAAAGACTATTTAAGATAGCTGAAAACATTTGTTCATTTAATTTTAAAGAATTTGCTAGAAAAAGTGAGAAAGATGTTTTGCAATAATTTTATGCTTTAGTCTACTGAAAAAAAGATCAAAGTGAAAAAATGTCACTTCAAAAAAATTCCCCCAAGTTTTCTGTCAATAAAAAATTCCCAATCTGGAGACACTGGGTGGATTGCATGAAAAACTGCCTTTGGTTTTCAATTTCATTTCCTGTTTTGCTGTTTGAACTCGTAGCATGACATTGCTAAGTGTGTGGTATATGGGACTCCCATCACACAGGAGCTTGACATTATGCTGTTTTTTCCTGAAGTGTGTTTTTTATTCAATTTCATGCCAAATGTTGGAATAAGTGGACTAGGATTTTTATCATCAGTATTATATTTTTATTGCCACTTTAATAAAAATATCACCAATTTATTAAAATGGCAATAAAAATATAATACTGATGATAAAAATCCTAGTCCACTTATTTCAACATTTAACATGAAATTAAATAAATAAATATATTTACAGAAACATTTTCTTTAATCAATGCTTTAAAACCTATTTCATCCAACAGAAGACAATTAGTAGCTTTATATTAGTATATAACAGATAATTAACTATTTCTAATTTAAGCTTTAAAGAACTCTAAAAGAAATATTTTAAATATTAGAATTTTTAGTTTTTTAACCTGACAATTTAAAAGACTGTTTATATAATATTTTTTTTATTTTTCAGGAAATAATTAGCAGTTTCCATAATTACAAATGTGCTATGCCTGAAGAAGTTTATAAACATCATCCTTCTGTTGTAAGAATGGGAATTCTTCCAACTGTGTCTGACCTAAGTGTGCCAAAACGCCTTCTAGCATGTGTGTTGTCCACATTAAAAGCAAACGGTAAAATTATTTCTGTAATTAAATAAAAAAAGGATAATTTTAAAAAATAGTAATAATGATACATTTTATAGGATCCCATGGTCTGTTCAGTGAAGTGAACGTAGGTGACAAAACTGTTGTAGAATTTTATTCCAAACTTGGGTTTCTGGAAATTTCATTACCCAGTTACACTTGTGAGGATACTTTTTATCTTGGAAGAACATTCTAACCAATGTATCTTTATACACCTGTATAAATGTGTTTATCATCATGTGGCTTTGCTTCGTAAGAAGCGATGTATAAGTAAGTGCATTGCATTTAAGTGTAGTGTAAAGATTTTGATGCAGTTTCCTATTTTGATAGGGTGTATTAATTTTTGTTTAAAAGCATTGGGAAATTTGTATCTGTGTAAAATAAAACTTGTCATGTAATACATAATGACTCAATATGTATTTTATTACTTAGCTGAATTTAATTATATAAAATGTTGAGTTAAGATTTAGTAATTGAAATCTATATAATCAATTGCTAAAAATGATTCACATTGATTTATAGAATATATTTTATCTGAAATTGATAGTTTTCTGTCTGATCTGTTATTTTGAATTTAAGAAGTTAAAGTAGATAAAAGGCATTATTTATTAACTAAATTACAAATTAAAAGTAAAAAAATATCAAAAACATTGTTCTGTAAAAAATATTCAATTTGTTCACATTGGCATTATTCTCAGAAGATCAGACTTAAGATTTTATTAAGACATTAATTAGTCAAATTTGTTATAAAATTTGAATGTTTATTCACTGAAAGCTGCCTTACAGTACAGTGTTTATAATGCAGTTTAGTATCAAATCCATTACATGAAAAATCAAGTACTGTTATTAATGTTTTAAACATTTTTAAAGTTACTTTAATATGAAGATGTTATTTTTACACAAACTATGATTGTAGAAAAACAAATTCTACAAACTGATTGTAGAATTCAATTTTTCTAATGTAATTACAATTATTTTTGTAAAATGTTCATTGTTGTTATTTTGTAAATAGGACTGAAATTAAAAATTTTCCTCCACTAAAGTCAATATTATGTTTCTAAAATATGGAACAGTGAAGCCAATAATAGTTTAAAAGATTTTTCTTTTATCAGGCCAATTTTCTTACTTACATTAAACTTTTGAATTATAATGGAAAGTTTTAATTTTTAACAGCTGAAAAATTTTGCATTGTTAAATTTTTATTTTTGTTATATAATTTCTTTTAGTTTAATTTACCTAAATATTTTTAAAAATTGTTAGATGCAGTATGCATGCATAATACAGCACACAGCAGTTACTTTCTATTGGCTCTTAAGCTTTTTACCATATTAAATTAGTACCTAATAAAATTGAATAAAGTTATATTGACAACAGTGATTAACTTGAGGAAACAATTCCATCCAACAGTATCATTGTGATCTTTTTTGAATGGTGAATAAATATGAATGAATTTGTAATGAACACAATTAATTAATTTAATTTAATGGATTAAGAATTAACAACAACTGAACAACATTAACTAAGTGATTAAGAATAAGTTCATGAATTATTTTTCTTGTTTACTTTTATTAGACATGGTAATTTAAAATTAAAAATATTAAAAACAAATTATTATGTTAAAGGCATCATTCTCTTCTCCTGGGGACTCGGATTCTTATTTGATCCGATAGTGAGAAACGGATATGTTCTCCAATACATATGTTGAACTCCATTCTACATCATTAGATAATCCTCATTATGGGCTTGATTGATCCTACAACGGACACAATGAAAAATAACTTTTTAGTGCTTGAATATCCGAGAATTAGGATTAAAAGTAAAAACTTAAAATAATTACAAGTTATTTATATGGACTGGCAACGTATTGTCTTTAGCGACGAATCTTGATTCATTTCGGAACAGAAAACTACCTTGTTAGAATGTGGAGGACTATTATCGAGTGCTTCAATTCCGCTTTTATTGTTGAGCGAAATACTGCCTCTACTGCTGGCATGCTGTTTTTGGAAGCCATTTCGTATGACAGTCGGTTATCCCTAATAGTAATACGAGAAACATTGATTATTCATCGGTATGTTGAGAAAATTGTGCAATCTCATGTATTGTCTATCATTTCAGAGCTGCAAACAGCCATTTTCTAGCAAGATAATGCTCGGCCGCACAAGCTAGGGCTTCCCAAGAATGTATCCTTTACATTGTTACACTTTATTGGCCTGCCTGGTGTTCAGATTCGTCGCCCATTGAGCATTTGTGAGAGCAGATGGAACGCTAGCTTTGGCCATTTACGAGTGTGATTGATTTGCAGCGGCAGTTGCAACACCTGTGGAAAAATTTCTCGCAGCATAGCATACGATGCCTATATGCCTCCANATTAATGGAATGGAAATTTGAAAATAAAAACTTTGTTTATATGATGCAGTAAACTAAAGAAAACAAATATGATTTATAATGGCTTTCTACAAAATCATTTCAGCTAGGGACCATTAGCTTAAAGTAATTTTTCTTGATCTTGCTTTATGGACAGCAGTCTGGGAAATCATGTCACTGAAATATGTAATACTAAAACATATATGTCAGAATATACCTTACATTTTACTTGTACAGAACATCAAAATGATCTCCATTATCATGATAGTCTGATACAGTGCCAAGTTGCTTTGATATTTTAGAGAGATAATCTGGTATGAGAAAAAAATCATTCCTATCACTGCATTCTTCAACTGTTCTGTTGACTGACTCTGATAAAATCCCACAAGATATTGCCTGGCATAATAAGATCACGGCTTCTTGATGTCCATGAAAAAAGTGCTGGGGGATACTTTGGATCCTCAGCCAATCCATCTATTTGGGAATAGTTTGTCCAAGCACCTACAGTTTTGTCAGAGTCTGTAGGTAGTTCTATCAGACAACAAGAATTGAAGAATGCAGTAATTGGAGAATTTTCTTTCTCACACCATATTACCTTTGTAAAACATCTCAATGAACTTGATGCAGTTTCAGACTGTTTTGATCACAATGAATTCATGCTGATGTTCTGGACAAGTAAAGTATATTCTGACATATAATATGTTTCAGTTTCTTCTTTACAAGAATAAAATGCAGGATAACCTGACTTCCTTGGATACCCTGTACATATTTCATGCAGAACATTTTGTCACAATTAGCATCTTAGTCCAAGTTCATAATGATTGTTGTGCAAAATTATAAGAAGATACTGCATTTAAATAATAAAAAATCTTTTTTAAATTGTCAAATCTACTTTTATTAAAAATTTATTATTTTTTTTTACTACATATTTTAATTTTTAAATTTTCTAATAAACAGTGCTGAGTCATGAATCATATTTTGAAAATGCTGATTTGTATTATAGATACCTTTTTGTTTTGAAATCTCTTATTTATTGTGATTTTGATAATCCATTGTAATTTAGAAATAAATTTTGAGAATTCTGTTGAATAAAAGCATTCATGATCCATGTATGTAATAAATATATAATGATGTTAAATCTCAAATTAAGAAATACTGTATATTTTTCATAGAAACAACAAATTTAAATTTATTCTAAATTGAAGTATTTTTAGTAGTTAACTTATTTGTAATATTAATTAACTATTATATAACTTATGATCATATTAATTAAAAAGTTTTGTTTATTGTTAATGGATTTACTTTTATATTGAATTGGTCACATGATTATGTGGATGATGATTACCTACTACTGTAGGAATTCAATTTTGCATTTTTACCTTCATACACAGTTTGGCATTAGTGATATGAATTGAGGTGTCATTCTCAGGATTCTCAGTCTCGTCTTTATGCTGCTGACCAATTTTCTTTGAATCAAGCCTGTCCATAATGGAAAAATGCCTTAATATGAAGAACTTTTCCTGTATTAATTTATAGTAGTGAATGCCATAGTAGAACTTGCTACTTTATATTTATAAATACTAAGGATGCACCGATAAGCAAAATGGGCGATTACCGATTAATCGGCCAATTAGTGTTAATAATTTATTGCATTAATAATGTGAGATCCTGGAGTTAATTATACAGTTAATGTTAATGTGGAAAAAACCCATTTTTCTCCACCTGGTATTTCCATCTCCCTCGGGTCAGGTAAACAAGAGACGATTGAATATCCTCGCAAAATCAACAATCTCTTCCTTTGTTTCTAAAATAAATCTCAACACTTAATTGTTGACGCATTGAAACTTCGACATTGTTTAAAAAGCTGAAGTGTTTGTGTTTAATATAAACAAAATATATTTCTTTAACTGCTGATGCTGTATTTGGACAGCAACTACAAACAATTCTCCTTTTTTAAGTGTAACAGCCCACTGGTTGAAGGATGATTTTCAGCAGGAAAAAGCTGTTTTGCAAATTGTTTCCTTTGAAGGTTCCCACACAGTTACACAAATCAGCAAACAGTTAAAAAATTGTTCTTGAACAATATAAGTTGACAAGTGATAAGATATTAGTACTAAGAGATTCTGCAGCAAATCTGGTAGCTGGAATTAGGAATTGCAACTTAGAAGCATTATCATGCTTTATACATATGCTGCAGCTGACACTAAACGAATGCATATTTTCTGAACAAGATGTGAAAACTATAATCACAGTTAATAGAAATATTGTCACACGTTTTAATCATTCTGATGTAACTGTAATCAAATTGGAAGATTTGCAAGAAAAGTTAGGTTTACAGAAACAAATTAATTCAAGATGTTCCTACTCGCTGGAATTCTACATACTACATGTTGGAACAGCAAAAGGCTTTTGTCACATATGCTATAGATAATTCCTATGTTGAGCCAATATCAGTGGTCTCTCGTTGAAAAAATTGTTCTACTTGTAAAACCATTCAAAGAAATTACTGTGGAAAGCCAACAAACGAGAAGCCACTTCATCTTCAATAATTCCCACAATAGAGACTCTGAAATTATTCTTATCAAAAGCAAAGATCAGTAGTTCCTTTAGTGGCGTTAATACCACAACAGAAGAACTAGAAAATCCAATAAAAAAAAAAGATTTTCAGCATATATAGAAAACAAGTCTTTATGCTTGTCATTTTTATTAGATTCAAAATGAAATTTCAAAAAGAGGATATGGTAAAGGAAGTCTCAATAAGAATTAAATTCTGAAGCTTCTACTTCTAGAGGTGATCAAGATGGAGGTGAATCTGTAAGTTTTTCTGACTTATTTGATGAATTAGCTTCTGGTAAACGAAAGAATGAAGAATAGCATGTTTTTAACCTATTCAATACTCTCTATTTTATTTAAAGTTTAAACTTTACATTATACGTTATATTATACTTATAATATGTATCGATAAAAGGAATAATTTTAATTGTAAAATTTTTTTAATATTCAGTTTGTCATGTAATAAATAATAAATATATAACAGA